CTTTTGCTCCGTATATATTTAGTGTCTTAGGCCTCTTTTTCCCAATGAAAAGCGTGTTCCTGCAGATCTCACAGCAAAACACTTTCCCCAGAGTGTATGGAATCGAAAGTAAAACTGCCCGTCTGCTTAGGCAGGCCTGCCAGTGTCTAGGGGGGCTTCTTTCTCTGCACTAGTTTCCTGTCTTGCTCTGTGTCTCATCTGTCAAAACTTGTGGCTGAGTTAATTTTCTTCTGATGGAGCATGGTATTTTTTTAATGCTCCTTCCCTTATTTTAAGAGAAACCTTAATTGCATTTCCGTTCTTGAAACTTTAAATTTTTCTAGTGGTATGATTTCTAACAATGTAGAAGTTTGTTGCTCTTTGAGTTTTTTCAGCCGGAGTGGTACATCTTACATTCTTTATCTTGCTTATCTCTTTTGCAGTAGAGTAGCTGCATAAAGGAATGTTTATGTGATCAATTTAATTTCCAGTAGCAGTAAAAAAGAATGTGAAAAATCTTAACATTCTTAGTTTAATAAAGTTCTGTTTACAAGGATTAAGATTCTGGTTCGTGGTTCTGCAGTCAGTGACAATTGGCTGTTTTTATTGATCTGAGAGTATTGAGGTATGTCAGAGCAAGGTGTTGATGTTTATCCTTTTTATTCTGAGTAGTGACTAGATTAATGATGCTGAATAATGATATTGATTACCTTTTATGAATCTTTTGTTTCCTTGGGAGTAAGTGCTTGGATGCTTTCTCTTTAATGTTGCCTGTGTATTTCAAGACCTGTTTCATAAGTTTCTGAGCCTGGAGTATCATGAACTCAAGCCCATAGGTTTTTCAGATTCTGAGACTGGTATGAAGAACACCTAAGTAGAAATTCACGTACAATAAAAAATTTCTTAACTAAGATTGACTTCAGGTAGGTCAATTAGTGAAAAATTAAGAGGAATAGTTTGCTCTGGAAAATATCATCTGTAAGTGATAAAACTAAGAGTGTTAAAGCATCTAAATGTCACTACAGAAATGGACTGCCAGGAGTCGAAAAGCATGTGGAACACTTGTCTTATATCTGTCTTCCATGTCCTTTATAATTTTCAGCTGTGAGCACTAGTTCTTCCATCTATTCACTTCGGAAGTTACCATCATTATCTTGCCTTTTCATCAGTACATTCACATAAACATTAGGTATTAAATAGAAGTTCTCTTAATGATTAAGTTTCTGTTAATCCTTACTGTTCCCATATATATGGACCAAACTCTGTGTATCAGCCTTATTTCCTATGGAAATGAGATCCAGGTGAACCTAATGCCTGTCTGTTTCCAGTTTTCTCTGCTTCCTACAACTTTTGAACCTTTTGTCCAGTTTCAGTCAAGTTAGGCAGATGTTTTGAAGGTATAAACTTTCAACACATCTTGTGTTAACTGGCTGCTGAGGAAAAGTATCAAGGTGTAAACTGGCCTTCTTGCTGAGAGGAGGGCTGTAGTGAAGGCTCAGTGGACAGTTCTGTTCTGTCTGTGCTGTTAGCTGACACTGTGCTGGCCAGTGAATCCGTGTACGTAGAGCTTGGAGGCAATAACCGTCCTGCCTGCCTCCTGCCATCAGTGTAGACATGAATGAGCTGGTAGTACCATGGGGAGGGTGTGTGAGACAAGGAGCTGTATACACAGCAGGTAGTGAGGAGTATTGCAACCTTGTGTTCTGTGATACAGGACAGAAATCTTCTATAAACTAGATTGTTGGGGGTCTTTGGTCACCAGTGTCTGTGGGGGGAGAAAAGCAGATAATACTACTTGTCAAAATCACAATGTAACTGATTATACTCCATCCTTTTACTTTTTATCCTATCTTCTTTATTTTGCTTTTATATAAGCAAAGATCAGATATGCCTTTAAAACAGAATTTTGAGTTACTAAACTTAGTAAGAGCTTGAGCAGCGTGATGATTGCAGTAAGTAACTGTGGTGTCAGAAGTTACACATGTAGCTGGTGGTTTTTTAATTTTTATTTCCCCAATTGTAAGTGAAGGACACTACTAACAACAGGTGAGGACAAAGATAAAAGCTGGAATATTGGAACTGTGGCATGTCTTTCCAGCATTTCTTTAATCAAACAACCCTTTTTCCCCCAGTGTTTTCTTTTTAAACTTAGCTCCCGATTTATGATCTTTCAGAATCTAACACTTCATTTGTAACGATTGCATTACTCTAATGAACACACACCCCAAAAATAGACTTAGACTTCTTGGTGAAAAAACATTTAAATACAATTATTGGAGAGTCTCATGCAATGTTCTAACGGACCTAATCTTACTAGTAGGATATTACAGTGATGTTAAAATGCTGAAAGCTTCCCTTTCAAACCCTTTTTGTTAAAAATGGTGCGAGAGAGAGTTTAGCTGTCTCTGACTAATGGAATTTCCAGTATGCATTCGTGGTGAGGAAAGATTAATGAACTGTTATTGCTGAATTTGAAACAGAACATGTAGAGGATTTGCATCTCCCAGATGGATATCTGAGGAACAGGTCCCACTTAACTGGCCTACAGAGAAGCAAAAACTAGTCCAGACCTTTAATATGAGGAGGCTTGAGGGGGGCTGCCCAGTTGTTTGAGTTCTGTTGTTATTCCTGTCCCTCGGTTAAAATATTAATTTAATAATAATGTTTTAAGAGAATATAGATCAGTGTTTCTGAAATCCAAATAGTTCTGAGAAGTTGAGCTGTGAAACTTTTTAGTTGTATATGTGCATTAAGGATCCAAATCTGCTAGTACTTGTTTAAGCAATGCTGACTTGATTTGGATCGGTGTCAGAAACATTTCCTCATTGGCACTGTAGTCAATTGCTGTCAGAGAGGCCAAGTCCTGAGTACGTTCTCTGTTGGTCAGTTGTCTCTGCCCAGTGTTTTTGGAAACGTTTTTTTTCTTCAGAAGACCCCAGCAAACATTTGAAAAATTGTAACACAACATTCCGCATGGGATAGTCAGTTTATGAATCTGTCATGTTATTGTTTAAGCGTAGGGGAGGGAACGGGGTGTACTTAGAGATTTTCTTTAATGCCATGTCTTGTAAATATCTTTAAAAGTAGTTAAAAGTCATATTAGAAGTTCTCTACATTAGATTGGAATGAAAGTGTCTGATTATCAGCTTTGAATAGGTGCAGGTAATATGTGACAAATATGTGAATCTAGCATATTTTCATTATCCAGTCTGAGTAAAGTGTTAGAAGGGCAAAAGTAGGTGTGGCAATTGAGAATCAAACTAGTGTTACTCATAAAAAACTAATCGATGGTTCTTTAGGAGGTACCATATGTGATAGTGTCCCATCAGTCCCACCTATATATGCATTTAACTTGAAGCATGTAAACGTTTTAAGAAATTAGTTTAGTCTGAAGTAAATCATGGCCTCTTTCAGTCCTGCCTGGTCCGATCTGATCTGGGACCTGAGTCAGTGGGATGTGCTTGCATTACTGCCAGCTGCATTCTGGACTGTAATAACTGTAAAGTTATCCAGCAAGTTGAGGAAGGTGAATCCTCCCCTCTATTTGATATTTACAAGGCCACATCTGGACACCACATCCTGTTGTAAGATTCTGTGTTTGAAAAAAAGCATTGACATGCTGGAGCAAGTCCACTGGAGGGCCAGCAAGATCATTAGGAGGCTGGAGGATGTGGTATCTGAATAGAGACTGGGAGAACTGGGTTTCTTCATCTGTAAGAAGAGAAGGGGAAGTCTTACTGCTGTCTACAACAACTTAACGGGAGAGTATAGAGAAGATGGAATTGGGTTCTTCTCAAAGCTGTGCAGGGATAGCGTGAGAATAAATGGACACAAGATGAGACATAGCAAATTCCAGGATGATACTAGGAAAAGCTTTTTCACAGTGTGGTTATTCAGGTACTGGAACAAGGCATCTCTGTCCTTGAAGATACTCCAAACTTTGCTAGCCAAGTCCCTGATCTGATTTGATGCGCAAGGGAGTGAACTAGATGACCTCCAGAGTTCCCTTCCAATCTAAATTATTCTGTGATTCTGTCCTTTTTATTCAGTATTAGTTATCTTTTTGGATCTTGAGCCAAATGAAACTAAAACTTAGAGGGCTAGGAGTGCCAAAGATGCTAAATCTCCTAAGTCCCCAGAAGAACATTGGTTGAGTAGAAAAGATACAAATTGGAACCTTTGGTAGCTCTTGATGATTGTAGCCATTCCACTATCATTTCCATTTGTTCTGCTGACAGGGAGGTTTGTGCGTACATCTTAGCACGGCACACTCTTACAGCTGTACGTGTGCTATGTGGAAGAGTGCTTGAGATGACTGCGGAAATCTTGGGAAGGGTCAGGAAAGGGCAGGGAAAGATGATACCTTTTAACAATGAGGATGGTTAGGCACGGGAGCAGGTTGGCTGGGAGGTCATGCAGTCTCCTTCCTTAGCAGTTCCTCAAGACCGGAGCCTAGAGCAATCTTGTCTAACCTTGTAGTTGACCCTGCTTTGAGCAGAAGGTTGAACTCCTTGAGGTTCCATCTAACCTGCAATATATCTGGTGATCCTGTGTGTAAAGGTAGTGGAAGGGGGAGTATTCTTAGATGTGTAGAAAAGTCAGTGAGGTGCATGTGCATGCTGATGAATCAAATACTGTTATTTTTAAGTTGGGGGTTCTTTGTGTTCATCAGCCTTGGATTTTTTTTTTTTTGATGGTCTTCTATTAATGTTCCAAGATCTTCTATTTCTCAAGTTGCAGGAACTTTAAATGCTTTTATCTCACAAGTCATGCTGAAGACAACTTCGCAGAATAACACTATAACAAAATGATTCAGTTTTACCTGTTAGGTCTGTTACTTAGTTCAGGAAAACTTACCTTAAAGCTGGATTTTATTGTGATGAGTCAGGCATTTTTGAGTTATCTTACTTGGTTAAGATCTGAGTGAGTACAGGTGGGGTATGAAAGTGACTTCAGTGTATCAACCGCAAGTTAAATGTACATTTCTTCTTGTGATTCTGCAGACTTGCCTGGGTCACACAATGCCAGCTGAGCGCAAAAAGCCAGCAAATATGGAAGAAAAAGAATCTACGTTAAATAATAAAGAAAAAGACTTTAGTGAAAGGCGGCCAGTGAGCTCGAGGGAGAAGCCAAAAGAAGATGTCAAGGTTGGCATGAAGAGAGAGACTTTAAAGGTTCCTGAAGATAAAAAGAAAAAACTGGAAGATGATAAAAGAAAAAAAGATGACAAGGAGAGGAAGAAAAAAGAGGAGGATAAAGTAAAGGCAGAAGAAGAGCAAAAGAAGAAAGAAGAGGAAGAGAAAAAGAAACTAGAAGAAGAGGAGAAAAAGAAACAAGAGGAGGAAGAGAAAAAGAAACAAGAAGAAGCAGCTGCTCAACTGAAGTAAGTTGTCTTTTAATTGCGCTAAATCCCTGTAGTCCTGCTCTCGGGGTTGTGAGCAGAATTGTAAGAGATGAACTGTTTGAATTACACTACATACAACTTATAATAAGATATAAATTTTACATGGCTGGCTGAGAATGCTTTGACTTCTATATAGGTTTGAGCTTTCTCCTCTAAGCTCAATTACTTTTGTCTCTAATATGGGGGTTTGATAGTGTTCTCAATGTGGTGTCCATGTAATGCACCATTATGCTTGAGCAAAGAAACACAGCTTCTCTTAAGATGAAGAAATGTCAGTGTCATAAAATTGGGAATACAGGCTCTAACAGGTCACAGGAGCAAATCTACTGTGAGGAAGGGCTGTAACTTTTGATCAGTCATGGACAGCTGATACCTGGATGGCAAACACAGAATGTAACCTGGCAGTATAATATGTGATACTAACAAGACAGTGTTTCTTAATATGTTATCTAAAGGTACTACAGTGTTGAAGATGGCTTTCTTGGTCTAAAGATACTAAGATTCCAGACATTCTTGTGTTTGAAATATGTCACTTTCTATGACTGAGGCAATGTCATAGCTGAATTCTAGCTGGGACAGATCTATTTCACCTATTTAAAATTTTCTGTGTGATTTCAGTGGTCTGGGGATAAAAGATTTCCCTTAGTGCGTAATACAGTAAGCTGCTGAGAGATTGTTTTCTGTAAGATCTCTGTCTGCAGTAAATGGAGTTTTATGTTTATATTTTCCAAGTCTGTTGGGATTAGTATGTTCTGCAGAAAAATGTTTGAGAAATTCAGTTTTGCAACAAGTAGTACTTGCCTTTTGCAGAAAAGAAAAAAATTAAACAGTAGTTCATGAAGCAGATGCGATAGCTTTCTAGGATTAACTTGTTAATGATTTTAAAATAGAGTGTTGAGGGGAAATTTGTGTTTAGAACTGCTGGAGAGTTTCCAGCTATGACTTTTTTTTTTTTGACTTTGACCTTAACCTCAAACTAAGGTTCTGTAATGAAAATTACTAATTTTTATTTCTCTTAGAGAAAAAGAGGAAGCGCACCAGCTCCATCAGGAGGCTTGGGAACGCCATCAGGCAAGAAAAGAGCTTCGCAGCAAAAACCAGAATGCACCAGACAATCGCCCTGAGGAAAACTTCTTCAGCAGACTAGATTCCAGTTTGAAGAAGAACACGGCTTTTGTTAAGAAGCTCAAAACCATTACAGAGCAACAAAGGGACTCCTTGTCCCATGACTTTAATAGCCTGAATTTAAGCAAATACATTGCAGAAGCAGTAGCTTCTATTGTGGAAGCCAAACTGAAAATATCGGATGTGAACTGCGCTGTGCACTTGTGTTCCCTGTTTCACCAGCGCTACGCTGATTTTGCTCCTTCACTACTTCAGGCTTGGAAAAAACACTTTGAAGCAAGGAAAGAAGAGAAGACTCCCAACATTACCAAGTTAAGAACTGATTTGCGTTTCATTGCAGAACTGACAATAGTTGGGATTTTCACTGACAAAGAAGGTCTGTCTTTAATCTATGAGCAGCTTAAAAATATTATTAACGCTGATCGAGAATCCCACACTCATGTTTCTGTGGTTATCAGCTTTTGTCGGCACTGTGGAGATGACATTGCTGGTTTGGTACCAAGGAAAGTAAAAACTGTTGCAGAGAAGTTTAACTTGAGCTTTCCTCCCAGTGAGATAATTAGCCCAGAGAAACAACAGCCCTTCCAGAATTTGTTGAAGGAATACTTTACGTCTTTGACCAAACACTTGAAAAGGGACCACAGGGAGCTACAAAACATTGAAAGACAAAACAGGTGACATTTGAATATTGCTTTTTATGTACGGAGGAAAAAATAGTTTATGAAATGCCTAGCTTTGTTGCAGTATTTCTAAACAAAGTCTGTTAGCCGTGCCTAGAAGATCGCTGTATTCTACAGTATATCTAAAGTATTCTGAGCAAATTTAGAATTTTTTTAAAAAGCAAAACCAAAACAGGTTCTTTGAATGTCTTTAAAGAAAATGCAGGTTGACCTTTAATTCTCTATAACTCTCTAAGTTTGGTGATGCTGCCGTAGCAGCTTGAGACTAATGCTTCTTTCCCAGCTGGTACTGTCCTTTTCCAGTTGGCACGATGTAATTTCTCCCTTGCCACCCACATGTATCTAACAAAGCGTATGCTGCAGTGGCTTTGGCTTGTTTACTTTCAGTCTACCGGTATGGAGGAAAAATTAGGTTGGACTAAAAAGGTATCCCTTACACCTTAACGTGGGCAACTTGATACAGAAAAAAGTGTCGGAGGCTACAGACAACTTGCACCAAATCCTCTTTGATGTCCATATGAAATATTAATATTGAAGGGTATGAATATACACACCTTTAAGGTCTGAACAATTTAATTCCTACCATGATCACGTTCTTTGCTTTTCTTTAAATCATCCTGAATTGTCATTACTGGACCCAGCCTAAACCCAACTGCTGGTCTTAAAACATGGTCATTCTTCAAATCCTTTTGGAAACATTCCAGGCAGATAGAAAGGAATGTGTTGCTGTGTGTAGGCACAGGTTTCAGTTAAAAGCCTGAACATCAGTCCAGACTCAAAAGTATGTTTGGAATACATTAAAATTTGATGTTCCCAAAGCAAGGCTTTAAACTTGGGTCTGTTGTGCTGCAGTCCTATCAGGTCTCGGTCAGCTAAGTGGTGTGTTTCAGAAGGCCGTAAATTGACTTTTGAGCTACCATTATTTCCGCAAGTACCTTGTTACTTTAAAGTGTGTTATTGACTTAGTTTTTTAAAGTTAATGAATATAAACTTTTATACTTTTGTAATTATAATTGGTTCTGCGCACATTGGTTCTGGCTGGGATTTTGATGAGTGTTACGAAGTCTGTATGATAGGAAATAAAGTGGAAAAAAAGAATTCCAAGAGATGAAGAATGGTGAGAAATCATGAAGAAGAAAAAATGTTAAGTGATCCCAAAGAGGGAAATACACTTCAGTATTTACTTGCACAGCTGAATGAAAAGAACTGGCTAGTGCGATGAGCAACCTCATCCAATCTCACTGAGCCTGCTTTGAGTAGATCAGACCAGAGACCCTTTGTGCACCTTATCTGAGTTACCCTATGAACTTGGGGGCAAACCTTTATTTTGGGGAAGGAATGTGAAATATAGGTTATGGAATTATTTTCATCCAATGATTATTTATCTCTATCTGAACTTTTAGATGTTTATTTTAGCTGCTTACTCAAAGTTGGGGATTAAGTTTCCTTAAAAGATACAAGATATCAAAAAATCTTTCCTGCCTAATTTTATTTGCTTACAATGTGTCTGTAACGAGAGATGCTTGGCATTTGCATGCTATGGAGGTGCAAGGCATGAGGTCAAAGACAGAAAGTTACCTGGTAAGAAATCTGCAAATACTATAGAAATCTTCCTAAACTGTGGATTTCTGAAAAGTGATTGTGGTGACGTGGTGTTGGTGTTTTGTTGTGTGGTGGTTTCTTCCAATAGGATTATTCTTTCCTTAAAAAAAAAAAAAAACAACACAGTCCTCTGTGTATCTGAAACGTGATCCACTTTGCTGATACCAACAGCTTTTATTCCTACTGTTCTTCTAGAACTGATGAAGCGAACAGGTAGTGAACGTTCCCTCTGCTGTATCAACAGTGTCATATATTTGTTACGATGTTTTGTCAGGTAAATACCTCTTGAATTTACCTGTGTCAACAGAGTGACTGTGAAATAACTCAAGCTGTACAGATTAGTTGAGTGAATTGAAAATTAATACGCTGTCCTTAACATTGCTTTAATATTGTGTTACCTGCTGAATCATTTGGGTTAAAATTAAAGCGTTATTAGACACAGGGGTTTCTGCAAGTGAATAATTAGGAGAATTACCTTGAGTTACGCTTTGATAGCAGAACCTGGGATAGTTTGTTTACGCAGCCAAGGGCATAGCAAAATCTGTGCAGGCTGTGTCACTGGAAGAAAGTAACTGGATTCCCAAATCCTAGTGTGAGTTTCTTCAAAAATAAGTGTTAGAGGTGGAAGAAACCTGTTGAAATTAAGTATGTTTTTAAGATCTTTTAAACTTCCATTGGGGCACTTTGTGAAATTCTGAAAAGACGTGAAGTAAGATAAGTACTACATGCTGCACTTCTAATTGTTTTCAAAAATGAATTGTACTTTTTAAAGTTTGCCTAGGTGCTTTGCCTTGCTCGAATTTGTTAACACATGTCTTTGGGAACTGAAACTGAGAACTGACTCTTGTACTTTTGTTACAGCGCTTTGCTTTTTTGTTATTTTTTCTTTTAGTAATAGCAAAGACCTTCAGTGCTCATGTTTGGAACTGCTGGTTTAATTTAAATTTAAAATATGTACGTAATTGGTAGCTGTCTCCACGTAAAGGCTGTGAATTGGCACTGGATGTTTCCTGAATTCAAACTGAACTACTGCACTTCAGGAACTGTCAGTAGTTATTTAGTTGGTTAATTTTACTTGCTCTTCTTTATAGGAGCAGGTAATACATGCTACAGGTGTGTTTTTGTAAGAGGGACAAAACTTTTGCTAGTGTTACTGCTGCTTGCCCTCTAGCAAGACATCTACCTGAAGTTTTGGTTCTGAGCAGACAGGGATTTGCTGCTTGTGCTGTGAATGTGTTGTGTACAAAGATTACTCTTGTCTTACAATTAACCTGCAAATGAAAAAAGCCAAGATTGTTACCCTTCAACTTACATTGCTTAAACTGGTTGAGAATTTTTTATGCCATAAAATGTTTGGGTCTTTTGGCAAGAATGTGATTATATACTTAGTGGTTGATAAAAGCCTTATGATAAGGTAATGGTGCAACCTGCTTCAGGAATTATGGTATTCACACCTTATTTCAACCTTTGTCTTCTGATGCTTTTATCTCAGTGCCGGGTGCATTGTCTGTGGTTACAGCTAGTTAGCCCAGTGATACTAGCATTATTCCAGCTACTGTAAACCAAATTGGAATCTTGGTCATTCTGTCAGCTTCCTTTTGAAAGTACATGTTTGATGTGAGCCCGTTTGTACTTTTGCAGTAGAGGGTCCCCAGAGAGCTCAGCTGACACCATGTGTCCCTTGCCAGTAAATGACTGGTTGTGCCTCATCCATGTAAGAGCTGTTTGTGCAGAGTGGATCATGCCGTGGATGAGAAAATGCCCTTCTTGAGCCCCAGTTGAGGGCAAACTAGAACATTGCTAATGAGCAACCAGCGTATTCTTAGTTAACCCAAAATCAAGGATGACAGGCTTTCTTCAGTCTTCTGTGGCAAGCTTGTACTAGCAGAGATTACATTGTTCTGTACATTTAGTTCAAACTACTGAAAGTTCTTGATATTTTTTTTGTGTCTAAAAATCCAAGATGGACTTAACTGTAGTTTGGTAAGAAAATTGAGTTGTACTGTTCTGCATGTAATCCTGAAAACCCTACTGTGCACTTGTAAACATGTTCCTTCAAATGCAAGTCAATTTAGTAATCCTGAAAACCCTACTGTGCGCTTGTAAACAGTGATTATGTTCCTTCAAATGCAAGTCAATTTTTACAACAGATTTCAGTTTAGTAATGAGAATTTAAAAGAACAATGGATAGTTTTGTAGAAGAAAACAAAGAGTAAGTGAAAAGAACAAATGTAACTGCTCTTAATTTGGGCTGATAGTGTTAAAAATAACTTAGTTTGTTGGAAAATTAATGGACTGGTCTTCATATGCAGCGTTTTTGAGCCTCCTGGTGGTGATTGCCTGTTTAATCATTTGAACAACGTGAAAATGTAATGTTACAGATGCAAAGCAACTTTTTGCAGCTTTTGTGCAAGTTGAATGTTTTGATTTACTACAGAAGTCTTTTCATAGCTCAAGGCTTTTACAGGATAATCATGGCAAAGAAGTAAGTTAGCTGTTCTCTTTGGGCATTGAATTTAGAGCTTCTGGGACTGTACTACCCTCAGTGATACTGAAGTCAGTAATTCAGTATGGTTGTTTGGAAAATACCTGTAGCATTGCTCGTATTTTTCCTATTTCAGTCTAAACTAGATTTCTCTCAGTCCCCTTGAAGAGGGAAGGTTAGCTTTGCTCAGAGAGAATGGTAGTGGTTCAGCATAACTCCATGTATTTCATAAAAAAAGGTCGTCTTACTGTAACTTTGACTTTTGTAGGCGCATTCTTCACTCCAAAGGAGAGCTCAGTGAAGATCGACACAAGCAATATGAGGAATTTGCCATGTCCTATCAGAAGCTGTTAGCAAATTCTCAGTCTTTAGCTGATCTTTTGGATGAAAATATGCCTGACCTTCCTCAAGAGAAACCAACACCTGAGGGTAGGCCATCTTCTAAAGCACATAAACAGGATCATAGAATGGTTTGGGTTGGAAGGACTTGGCTTGGCTGTGGTGGGAGGGCTAACCAAACCCTCTCACTGATGTGTTTTCCCATAGATTTATTTTTATTTACGTTTTCTCCCTTAGGGATATCAGAGAATGAATAATATGTAGTTTTTTATTGAAGCAATTAATCCTAAGAGGTAACCATAACTATGCTGTGTAGCTGTGGTAGCTTAAGTAATACCTACTTAGATTTGTTTCAGGTAATACAGGAATAAATGGAAAATTAAAAATGTTTGTAATCTAATCCTTTCAATTTAATGTAATGCACTTTTTTGATATTTAAACTGTTTACATTAGAGTTTTAAAATCTGATATTAAAAATGAATTCCAAGTGTATTTTGGGTCACGATGCCATGAGCAGGAACATGTTGTTAAGCCAGGTAAGTGACTAGGTGGCTCTGACCTCCTGAGAAGTACAGCATTTACCTGGCAGAGCTATTCAGTGCCTTAATGAGTCTCAAATTTTAGATGTAGAGATGATGTTGAAATCATGAGTGTAGCTTTTGTCTGAAGTGATCCTGAGCTTAAAAAAGATGTATTTCTTGAATACCTATGAACTTTAAATTTTTCTTTTTTTCAGTGTCTGCTCTTAAAATACAGTGAGGTTCATCATGCTCAAAGCAATTAGTTTTTATGCTAATATGTGCAGTCTGTTACTGCTTTCCTTTCCAAATACCACCTAATGTGCTGCTTGATTTTTACTTGATTGGACTTTCACGCTGATACTGTCTGTGTTTTCTGTCAATGCCAAATTTACAATTTTAGATATAGCTTATTGATATATCTAATATTAAGACTGTTTAAAGTGTATGTTGCAATATTTAAGTGAAATCAGTGGTAGTAGTAAATTTAACATGTTCTAAAAAATATTTCTTTAATCTTTAAAGGTGCCTCCCTTCAGAAGGTAAAAAAATGTGTGTGAATAACTGTCTTATTGTTTCACTGTTTTTGCAGAACATGGGCCTGGTATTGATATTTTCACGCCAGGAAAGCCTGGAGAGTATGACCTGGAGGGGGGTATCTGGGAAGATGAAGATGCTAGAAACTTTTATGAGAATCTCATCGACTTAAAGGCTTTTGTGCCAGCAATTTTGTTTAAAGATAATGAAAAATGTTCCCAGAGCAAGGATTCCAGTAAAGATGAATCAAGAGGTAGAATGCTTACATGAGTATTTTTAACATATCTTGTCCAGCAAATACGCATATTTGATGAAATTAATGGGTTTCTAATGAAATAATTTGTGGTAATGAGGACAGTACACCAGTTGGAATGAATTTTTAGGGAAGATAGTATGTGGGAAAGGGATTATTTGTGGGTATGGTATTTAAGGAAGAAAAAAAGTAAATGCATTTTAATATTGATAGAATTTTAAATTTAAAATAATTGGAGATTGACCAGTGTAAGCAACTCTTAGCTTTTCTATGAGAAACCTAAAAGCTTACCTTCTTTGAAAGATGTTAATGTTCATTCTGTTTTTTCCTACTAAATTGTCAATGGTAGCCAACTGTCTCAGTATATAATTCCAGTAGTAAAAGGCCTGGATGGTTCCTCACTCCTGTTGCAGCCCTAGGTTCACAACCAGGCGTTGATACACTTGAGTTACAGTGAGATAAAAATGACATTCACCATCGCTGTCTGAGTGTAACAGAAGGTGCCTGTTTGGATAGAAGCAGTGTTTTGGCACTGAGGGATTGCCCACGAAGACACAGGCTACATGGCTTTCTAATACGCATGCAGTAGGTCAGTGTTGAGTATTAATGGAATTTCAGCTTTGTAGATAATGGCCTTATTTCTGACTTCTAAATTCTGAAATTTCCCTGTGAGGATAATTAGATTTCGGAGCAGCTGGCCCAGGGAGACTGGAATTTCTGCCTCAAGAGATTTTTCAAGAAAAAGGGAAAAAAGTCCCTGAGAAATTTGGCCTGAATACAGTGCTCACCCACTTTGAGCAGAAGGTTGAATTAGAGACATCACCAAATTCTGTTCCACACTAAATTAGTGTGGTTCTGAACAGGTCACTTCCTTTGAGAGTCTACTCTAGTTTCCATATGATGTGTACACTGTTTAGTTGTCATCTTTCTGTTGACAGAATTTAAGAACTTTATTCAAGTTTTTTGCCTTGAAATTTTTTTTTCCTGAAGCGTAGCCTGCAAATGAGGCTTTAAGGAGGCCTAGAAGAACAGTGAAATGTTGTAGATAGTAATCTCTTGGAAAAATGCTCTATGCTGGACCAGTGTTGTCCAAGAAGAATATTAACTATTCCTTTCTGAATCTTCATCTAGAGTTTCATAGATTGTGTTTGAGGAAAACAAGATTTCTATCTGATCTCCACATAACACATTTCTTCAGTATCTTCCTCCTGTTCTGCTCGTTGCTTTTTTTCCTTGGTCTGTATAAAATACTTTGCTTTGTCAATTTGATCAGTTTAGCTGTCTCTAAATAATGTTTGTCATATTCATTTACTGATGTTTTGGAGGATACTGTTTTTCTATCTGACCTTCCCAGTATGCAAATTTTTTTTGCTTGCACTTCCATTTGATGGCCTTCCAATCCATGTTAAGCACTTTTGGACTTGGATTGCTACATTTCTGAATATCTTGTTCCATTTGAAGGTATGCATGTCACCCAATGAAGACGTACCAGCTATATAGTTTGGAATGAACCAAACCACTAAACACTATTGGCAATCCTCGAGACCCCAATGTAGGTAGATGTCTGCAGTTTTCAGGCATATGGGTGAAGCTGTATGAAGGATATCAAACCAGAGACCTGACAGATGAGACAGCGTAGTCTCAAGGCGTAGATATTCTTTCCCCCGTCCTTTTAACGAAACTAAGACGCTAACTAAAGAGATGTAGGTTTAGCAACTTGTATTCCTGTATTGTGATCATGACTGTGTGTATTTAATAGTTTAATATTTCTACTTAACTTAATAGATTCAAAAGATGCCAAAGATAATAAGGAAGCACCTGGCAGTGAGGATTTGGAGTTGGAGCTGGAGAACCTGGATATTAATGACGATCCTCTGGAATTAGACTGTGGAGATGAGGCAGAAGATCTTACAAAAAAGCTTCTGGATGAGCAAGGTAAAAAGAATTGGATTTAGGAGTTCTTTGTTTTCTGATTTGTGTTTTTTGAGTTTGATGGGTTTTAGTAGGTAGAGTGAATTCTGGGAGAAATATTTATGAAACTTTAGCAGCTAGAATTTGTTGGGTTGTGGTCAAAAACACATCCATAACACATTCGGATACTACTGAAAAGTGTATGGAGGTTTATGTAGTGGAAGTTACTGGTTCCTTCATATAGCTTTCAAAAATAATCAGATGTGAAGGCAGTTGTCTGAAAAGTGACTAGAAAGAAGTTTGTAGACTTCAGTGCAAAATGACTTTTTTATCAAATGTGCTTAGGCTGCTAATATTTTCTGGTTCTAACTTGTACTGAGATCTAAGATTCAGCTCTGCCTTTCTGTCTTGTTAATCGTTAAAAGCTTCCTTTGATGTTACAGCTTTACATAGCAGGATTTAAGAATTTTAACCTCTCTGTGTAAAGGGCTGCAAATGGCACGTGTGAAAATGTAGCTGTTACTTTTACTAGAGAAAACAGTGGCAAAATGTTTCCTAAGAATTTTTCTTAGGAGCTACAAGTTTTTGTTTCAGTGGCACTGAATAGTGGGAAAAGCAACTACAGGTGCAAAGAGCCAAATTTGTAGAGGAGCAACTGAGGTGTTTTCTTTGAGCCCGGCTTGTAAGACACATGGGTTTTGTTGCTTTGGATTTCCAAGGACCAAACCAGATTCTTTTTCATTTCTGAAGCAGGAAATTTGTTCTGTGTCTAGAATGTGGGTAAAAATAGTCACATCTAGAGTCCACTGGCTGGAGATTGTGCCTTAAAAGTGAAAATCATACCTGATCTAATCATCATGTTTGAAACTGCATTGGGCTTTAAAACCTAAGGAGTTCATAGTTAAAGCCAAAACTTCACGCTGTGGAGTTTACATCAAAGCAGAACCATTCAGGCCCTTGCAGGCTGTGTATTGGCGTTGGAAGCACAGGTTCATCTAAACAAGCTGATGCTTGGATCTGTGCGTTTGGGCATTGAGTAGCTTGAGCAGCTCCTCAAAGTGTCATTCTCTCAGCTGACAACAGGGATGGGTCAGGGTATAGGGATCCTGAAATGGGGTGACTCTTGTGTACCTGAAGTTAGTTGAGCTGAAATTAATCTTGGGACTGTGCTGGTCTGTGACATCTCACAAATTCAAAGAAATTGGATGGCTCCAGAATCAGTGTGTTCCAAACTCTTCCTGAAAGGAGAACTGTCCAGATAATTCTGTGCAATATTTCTTTAGGTTTTTCCTTTCTTTACCCAGACAGGTTGGAAGAAGCCATACCCTCTTTGCAATAAATTTCCCCTTCAATTTATATTCTCTCTGTAGTTATCAGCTCATTAAGATGTTAAGTTTTAATTGCAGGATATTCAGCTTTAGTGAGTTGTTATCCTCCCAGTCAGAGATCTCAAACAAAACAGTGAACAGCTTTGTTCCAGCTACCTATGAGGGCAGTACACATAGACGTTCCCTTGGAATCCAAAGAAAAAAAGAGCAGTTCATTCTGGATTGGTCATAGCCAAAACAAACCACTTTGTCAAGAGACGTCTAAAGGAATGTGGATGTTTCCTTCTTGCCTTTTTAAGGGATTCTTGACTTGATGGGAGGATGAAGATTATTGCACATAAAAAGACAAAGCCAAATAACATGAGTGAGAACCTGTAGAAGTGAGGAAGGCGTAACAGGGGATATCAGAAGTAGAAGATACAGTCTGTGTGTAGTTCTAGCTCACTGGGAGGCGAAGCCAGTTTGAGTATGTACAGTAGCACAGAAGGATTGATGCATCACCTTCCTTTTACAGTCAAAAGGATGATCATGTTTTGTCGTAATATGAAATATTAACAATCAGCACTAGTTTCTGCTTTTAAACTAGCTGTTGACTGACCATTAAGCATAGTCTTATCTGAAGGGTTAATCTAAAATGTGTCAATGGGGTTTATTTCTATCATTAAACAGCCAGCCCCCAAAGAAAGCCTTTTACTATCTACCTTGTGAAGGTAATGTCATTTGGCTCAGTGTAGGCTTTTTCTTAGTTGCTATTGCTTCATGCGTGTGTTTGCTCATTAGTTTATTTTTTGTGAAACATGTAGAAACCTGGTGTCTTTGAATTCTATACCTTTGTCAAATTTCTTTGATACTGGCAAGTAGCTTCATAAATTCATGATGGAAATTAAACTAGATATGTTTGCCAAATCCTTGTTTTGCTAGAAAACTAGGCTATAAATTAGCAGCATGTGAGGGTTACTTTACTTGAAACATTAAACTCTGTGATTGTGGGTTTTGAGTGTGTGTGTGTATATAATTCTGAACACCGCTGGTTGGTAGCACCAGATATATAGCATTAACAAAAATTTGAATTTGGATGTTGTTGTTTCAAGTTCTGTCATATATTCCCTCTAGTGAATTGAATTTTTTTTTTTTTGGTCAGCCTTTCTCTTAAGTAAAATTCAGTCTGGTTTGAAATTAGGCAAATTAGGTGTCCTTCAGCTGCAAAATACAGCTGTAACTTTTCCTACGTACTGAATCCTTGTGCATCTGTACTTAAGGTAAGTTAGTAGTAATGTTTTGTGCAAAGCCAGCAAAGAATGAAACCATTGTATTATGACACTTCTGCAAACATAAACCAGTGTGTTCCCAGGTTGAGATGGGCCTTTAGTATAAAAAGGGAGGATGCATGAGGTGTAGCAGGGCCTTAGGTGTGAGGTCCAAGATAAAGAAAAAAAAGTAACTTTAGTTATTGTGATAATCTGGGGCACGGATTTCATTGGCAGAGTGGGTAAGTGAATTACAGAAGGGAAAATAGGATAAATAGGGTAGACAGTGCAGTCAGACAGCAGGTACTGTGTGTCTTGTTACTTCTTGTGGTTTAGTCCCAGTCAGCACCACACAGCTGCTTGATCACCTGCCTCTCCCCCAGTGGGTTGGGGGAGAGAATCGGAGGAAAAGATAAGAGAACTCTTGGGCTGTGATAAGAACAGTTTAATAATGAAACTAAGTGAAATAAAATGAAGTAAAATAATGATGCTAAAAATACTAATACTATTATCATGTAATTAAAATAATAAAAATACTACTACTAATAATGATAACAATATGTAATGAAAAGGAAAACAGCAACGGGGGTAAAAAGACCCCAAATGTTACAATTGCTTAGCGCCCACTGACTGATGCTGAGCCAGAGAGAGAGCCTGAAAACACACTGAGAGAGCTCCCTGGCCAACTTCCTCACAACTTATATACTGAGCATGACTTTTTAAGGCATGAAATATCCCTCTGGTCAGTTTGGGTGAGCTGTCCTGGCTGTGTCTCCTCCCAGGTCCTTGTAGAGAAAAGCTGGGAACACAGGTCCAGTATGAGAAACTGGTAACTTTTTCACTTAACATAAACATTGCTTGGCAACAACTAAAACCATTAGTGTATTGTCAGTATTCTTCTCTGCACAAATCCAAGACATAGTCTGATACTAAAAACATCAGTGTTATCAAGATTCTTCTCAATACAAATCCATCATACTGTGAGGAGAATTAACTATCCCAATCCAACCCAGCACACGTCTGCATCCCCTTCTGTCACTTCTCTTCAATCTTTTTCTGCCCTGTCCACATGTGAGGAAGACAAGGCAGTTTTCTGAAGTGTGTGTTTTTAAAGCAGGTGTGCCCTGGTGTAGCATCCTTCACAGCATTGCACTACCTGTTTCTGCACTTATATTAACGGTTGCAGTCTATAGTCAGCTAAGTTTAAGGTATGACATACAAAAAGAAAGTTGGTGCATTTAGTTGAAGAGGTTTGTTTACCAGGAATTCAGCTAATTTATTGTATTTCACTGTTGTGTTAACTTTGAGTGAATCTTAATTTTCTTATTTTCAATATGCTCAGGGAAGAGAGAGAGAGCAAATAGCACCGGAGCTGAAACTAGTGACTGCAAACGTGCTGCAAGAAGTGAGTTTTGAGGTTGTTTTTAAAAGAGAAGATAAAGTGTTAAAAATGAAGCTGTGTGAATGGAGACAAAGATGTTAAGTAAGGAGTGGCCAGGGTGCAAGCCATCAAGGGTCCTGGGAGCAGGTGGAGCCTGATGTTAATACATATCTAGCACCAGTTTCTGTAAGGTTGGTCGGCAGTAGAGGTGATGTGTAGAAGTGAGTATTAAGTCAACGCTGTTAATTTTGCTACACTGTTAAGAGAGCTAGCAGAGTTCCTATCAGAAGAGCAACAATTTAAAGACGACCTAAAAATATTCATTAAAAACTTGTTTTGGACTTGGATGACTCGTGAGACTAGATTCTGAACACATTCATCAGCAAGGCTTTGATTCAACAAGGTGTTTAACACTCTGCTTATGCCGAAGTGCCATGCAGAGAGGGGAATCCAGCCAACAGGTTGCTCATGATACTGGTTTGTACCATCTGAATGTGAGGGCTCCTGCACGGTCAAATTCAAAACTCACCTCAGAGGAATAGCTACTGGCATTACAACAGCACATCTGTAATTTCCATCGTCTGGGTGATACTGTACAAAGCAGTCTAAAGCTTTCAGGCAGTTTCTAGGAGAGAACCCTCTGTAAGGTTATGGTTTTGTAAATATTAAAAAAATGTGTTCACAGTAAGGGGGCCAGAGCTTTCTCAGAAAGTAAGTGTGTAGGGAGAGGGAAGGGAAATGACTACTCTTGCTGAAGTAGAAGACTATTTGGCACCAGTTGTTGCAGGAGAAAGACTTCAGTAAGTCCTTAGCATCATCCTATCTCAGTTCTGTTCCCTGAAAATTGCAGGATTGCATGCATATTTCTGGTTAAATATAAAGGTGTTTAAAAAGAAAAAAGCATTTTTCTTTCAGTCTCCACAGCGATCATACTGTGTGATTTCATCTGCACCCAGCTAGACTATTACAAGTAGTGTAATTGGAATGGTTATACATTACTCTTTGTAGTAAGTTTTTTAAAAAGAGGTAATGCATTTTAAAATGTGGTGATGATAAAAGATGGGAACTCGAGTGGATCAAAGTGAAAAGCAAGAAATAAATTCTTTTTTTTGTGGGAATTACGTACTTAAAATCTTTGTTTGCCTTGGAGAAGGAAGCCCTGACCGTTTCAATTCCTGTCACGGTAAAATTCTTAAGTCCCAAAGCTGCTTCAGGTACTACAAAAGAGCCTTTCCTCTTAGCAAGGATCCACATACTGTGATGAGAAAGAAATACAGCGTGAGAGCACCTGTAGCCCTGCAGTGAAGGAGAGGACCACTGAAAGAAGAGATATATTTGGGAGCTGTTGCAATTGAGTGTGATAGCAGGGCTTCTTGAAAGCTTGTTTTGAAGAGTGACTGAATTGTCAAGACTTAGTTTTTCCATTTATTTTAAGAGCGTTGAGTCAGCTTGAATATAGGACTGAGGTGAGACAACTAATTGCTGTAAGGGAAAAAGAGGAAGATTAAAAGAACGTGAGAAGGAGACAGGAAGGTGCTGCTGTAAATACCTAAATGGCAAAATGCATTAAAACAAGATTTGCTAGTAAAAACAGTCTGGTTTGAACTACTGCATGTGCCCTAGAGAACTCTATTTCCAAGTATATGGGTCATGAGAGAGTCAGGGTTCCATTAAGTATTTAAAATTTCATGGTCTTCTTTTGTCTGAGCATCTGGAACATCTTCCTTTTCTTTTTCCTCTCTTAATGAAGCCTTCCCTCTTGTTCTTCTGGCTTCTGGTTGCCTGCAAAAGAGAGGAGGCAGTGTCATCTGCTTTAATCTCTAGTATATTCAAGATGAGGTAGCTGGCAGTGTTCTTTGGAACAATCCAAGTGTTAGTGTTACCACTTGTTGTTTTGACTCACATTGTGCTGTAGAGCAAACCAGACTCTTCTCTTGGTCTTAATAAAATCTGGAAAAATTTTGAAGCATACCACATGTTTTGCAGTTAAAGAGTAACTGTAGAGGGATTGGTCTGGTGAGACCTTCATGGTTCATGTCAGAAAACCTGAAATTTCAGCAATAGAGTTGTCCTGCAGCCTTTTATTTAGGTGGTGTTACTGACTCAATGCATAGGTACAGGTTACTGGGACTGCTTTGGGTGTTGCAAATTACGCAGAAACGTTTGCTTGAAAAACAAGTTGTCACTTGCCTTGGGATTGCTGAGTGATCAACCCTTCGTCTCTTGCTTGGTGATCCTCTACCCTGGTTTCTGCTGAAGGAATTAACCTGGCCTCTAGCTTTCACAGCCTCAAGTGAAAAGATGTCAAGAACATACAAGATGAAAGAATGGCCTTAATGGGCACTTTTATTCAGAAATTCTGTTTCTCCTGCAGGGCCAACGTATGTAAAAAGTAGAATCCCCACTTCCATTAAGGTGTTTTGGTTGGTTGTTTTTTACTCATGTAGTATTTTCTCCAATCTTCAGGCCTTCTTGTGGTCCTCCTTTCATCACTTAAAGAGACTACCATAGTTTCTAGGAATGTATATTTCTTGTTGCCTCTGACAGTGTAAATTAGGAGGTAGGGAACCTCACGAATAGGACGACAAGTTTTAAAGGTGATACTTTTGACTTTGGTTGGCATAGACAATCACTGGATTCTTTTTGCATTAAATAACTAGATATTGTATTCATCTTTATATCTTATGTTTTTTGAATCTGTGGATGAATGTTTAACATCTAAAGATTACAAACACAGTGTTTGGGGCATATGATGGCAAATCATTGTATTTTGTAGCTTAAAGATGTGTGCTGCTTGTTTATTTCACTCTGTTAGAACAAGAGGATGAAGAAGCCAGTACTGGATCTCATTTGAAGCTTATAGTAGATGCTTTTCTTCAGCAGCTTCCAAATTGTGTCAACAGAGACCTGATAGACAAGGTATAGTCATGGTTTCCATTTTTTCCACTCTTAAAAGCTATAATGCTAAATCAGATTGGTCAGAAATAAAGATTTGAAGCTTTAGAGTCTAGCAGTAGCTGAATTAATTTTTAACCTGGAGGAAATATTTTCTCTTTCTTTCTTAGCTGTTGCCCAAATACCATGTGATACTGGTTTTGTCTGCCTGTTTTCTTATGTGTTAGTTTGTTTTTGAAGTAGGCTTGGCTTTTTCCTTTATTCTTCCCATCACTCCCTGACAAGTTACTCCCTGTCTGCCTAAAGCTACTTTCTTCCTTGTGTTGATCCAAAGAACAGTCTATATTCCTGCAGCTGGAAATGTTTTCTGTCATTCCTAGACAAAAATGAAGATTTATTTTTTTACATGCAGCTGCTTTAATAAAACAGGAATAGCTCTGTAAAAGATACTCTTGAAAAGCATGCTATATTGCTCCAAATAAAAAACCCAATGCATTAAAGGTGAAGTGCTGTATTTACTTCTCTCTGTAGGCAGCAATGGATTTTTGCATGAATATGAATACAAAAGCCAACAGAAGAAAACTAGTACGAGCGCTTTTCATAGTTCCTAGGCAAAGGTAAGAACTGAAGGGGAACCAGCTGGATCTATCCTTTGGTTATTTAACCTATCTATATATTTTAACTGTTTAAATTACTGAAGACCAGTATATATTCCAAGTTGCATGTTTATTCCTGATGTGCACTTCTGGAGTGATTTATACTAGAGCACCAAAGAAATATTTAGGATTGATCAAGCAATTCACCACCATATTTTGCCATAGCAATGTAAATGTTTTAAATAAGTAGTGTCTCTCTTTCTGGTACTTCTGTGTTATAGTGGATCTTTTCATGACTCTTTTTACTGTGAAAACAGCAAAACCTTCCTTCTGTCAAAAAAAGGAGAATATATTCCATTCAGGAGAACTTGTGCTTTTTTTTTTATATGAGAACCTTGGAGTAGTTAAAGCAGAGTGTAGTCGAGGAAGGAGGTTTTCTTGTGATATGTTAATTCTGATACTGTGCACAGCCATTATAAGAAGCTGTTATCTTCTGGAACAATGCTGGTTCTAGACTGGGTGGATTGAAGAAAGCAAGTGTAAGAATTTGAGCCTAGCCTCTTCTGTCCACGCAGAGTTTTGCTATTTCTCATCGTCTCTCTCGTAAGCGAGGTCCCTGCACTTGCAGGAAGAGCCTTGCTCAGACAAATGATTGTAAATATTACACAGAATGACAGAATCACAGAATGGTCGGGGTTGGAAGGGACCTTTGGAGGTCATCTAGTCCAACCCCCCTGCTAGAGCAGGTTCTCCTGGAGCAGGTTGGACAGGAACGCATCCAGATGGGTTGTGAATATCTCCAGAGCAGGAGACTCCACAGCCTCCCTGGGCAGCCCATTCCAGTACTCTGGCACCCTCAAAATAAAGGATTTCCTCATGTTGAAATTAATTTCCTGTGTTCCAGTTTACACCCATTGCCCCTTGTCTTGTCACTGGGCACCACTAAGGAAAGTCTGGCCCCAGCCTCTTGACACCCATCCTTTAGATATTTATAAACATTGATAAGTGTCCCGCTCAGTCTTCTCCAGGCTAAACAGACCCAGCTGTCCCAGCCTTTCCGTGTAAGAGAGCTGCTCTGTTGTGGGATCCTCCAGTAGTTCCCTATCGTTCTTGAACTGGGGACCCCAGAACTGGACACTATCCCCAAGCGGGAAATCTCTGCACTTCCTCAGGTTTCCCTGGCTCCGTGGACCCCCAGTTCCCAAGGGAGCCTTGGTTGGCAAAATACAGTCCCTGTGGCTCAGGCAGGTGTGTGCTCCTGTCAGCTTGAATCGAGGCGGTGGGGCTTTGCACAGAGGGGCAGAGCAGCCAGCGAGGGGACAGCAGGGTTTTAAACTACTACAGCTGTTTGCCTCAGTGGATGAGAACCAGCACCTTCATAGTCCCTTTCAGAATTAAAATACATAATATACTGAAATATATATAATATATATGTTAAAATAAAAATTTAAAATCATTGGATGAATAATACATTTCTTTTCTGTCTGGTAAACTTGCACCTTAAATAGGTGCAATTAGGGAGGAGTCACTTTTCCTGCTCCACCTTGCCCTATTTGTTTTGATGCAGCTTTTAGTTTCAAATATTTCATCATCTTGGATCTCCTGTTAGAGTTCACACCACTGTGATTCCATTCCTTACTAACACTGGGGGAAAGAACATAGTTTGAGTGTCTGTTTTGTCTCAGGGCTTGTGTAGACTACTGCTTTGAATAAACAGACTTTGTTTTGTTTTCCTTACTTTTAATCACTACTTGTGCTGTGTTTTCAACCTTAACTCTAGCCTATTTCTACATCCCATCTGTAATAAGCATCTGCTGTGCTAATAATGCTACTGTCCCAGCTGTATATAAGCCAATGGTTTGCTGAGTATGCATTAACCTGACTCAGTGTTGATACTACATTTGCAATTAGAACTGCACATAATCCTTCATTCTCTCAAGTATTCTTTTCTCTAAAAATTACTAGTTTTGACACCTCAGTCTTTGGAGACTTGGATAGAGGCCTGACTGCCTGAAATGTGAATTACTGGTAGAGGAGACAGGTGGTTGAGTATCTTTTGTGTAAGACATAACAAGGTGCTCTTCAGCCCAAATTTGTGATGTAGAGGAAATAAACAGAAATGTTATCAGCCTGCTGGTAACAACGAAACACACCAGAACACAATTTGGGAAGAACTTTTTCTCATGGTGTAGAACATCTACAGCAATGTAAATCAGCTGTAGATGATGTATCATCTACAATGTAAATGTGTATCAGAAGATAGCAAAAGTTAAAATCCTAGTGTAGGATGATAGCAAAAGTTAAAATCCTAGTGTATTGTTTATTAGAGCTGTGTCTTTGATCAGACTGTGCTAGGACCACAGGTAAGTTGCAAGAATCATATATGGCTTTCACATTACTACTGATTTGTTATCTTACCAAGGGTAGTTCTATTATCCCACAAATCTGTTTTAAAAATAATAATTTTTAAAAGATCCATTTTCCTGTGGGAACTGAGTAGACTAGTATAGATGATGTGGTTCACTCCGTGAGCTGCTGTCTTCATGCAGCTTTTCCTAGTGGAAAACCTCCAGGTTTGTACGTGGCACACAACAGTATGGGTTGCTAAAAAATGTTACAAATTCATTTAGAAGATTAACACACTGCTTCAAAGCTACGTATACTGTGCATTAACAATGTTTGCTTTGTGTGTCTCTTCACAGAGCCATAATACATCTCTACATTCTGTTACTGTTATACCAGTTTTTACTAATTCCGGGAGTTTCTGCAATAGCACTTCAGTATACCACGGGAGAAGAAAGCTTGTCGTGGTTATGTTCTTGAGGACTGTGTGTTTGGTTTTGGTTTTTGAGAAGGGTTCAGAGGAATGGTGATGGATAAAGCAGTGTATTTTTCCAGAAGTGTTTCGTTTTCAAGTATATCAGATAATGTTGTCTGAGTGTAGCTGTTATGTTGGCAGCCATAATAGGGTATTTCAATAACAGAATAATTTCGATTTCTTTTGAGAGATCAGATTTAAGAAACCTGCAGGCATAACAATCTTACCAAGAAAGTACAGAACTGGTTTCATGTTTGCAGAGTAACACAGACACTGTAAAGTCAGAGTCATTATGCAGTGTTGCCAGGGAGCTTTCTTGTTCCCACTGGGGTTGGCTAGATTGGGACAAATGCAGGATTCTTTAAGACAGAAAACTCATTTTGGAAAAAAAGGCAGTTTTTCCTCAACGAACTGTAGATTAGTGTTAGAATACAAAATCGTTGTACTACATTGAATACTTATGAATGGGTCACACATTTTCAGCTGTGATTTGAACCTGCAACCCAAGAGAACAGAGAGTCTTTTAAAAAAAGATTTTGCAGTGCCAGTATACAGGCAGCTTTCAGATTTGAATTGGAGGATTGATTTAAAACTAAACAGTAGCCTTTTAATTCAGGGATGTACAGTTTGCTCTAAAGTCACAGTGCAGTGATTTAACCCATACTGTTTACAGCTTTAGGGCGTTTATGTGTAATTCTTTTGATATCTGCTACCTGAATTATTTTCCTGTACAGATACACATAATTATTTCATTGCATACTGAATTTTTGTTGAATTTTTTCAACTTCAATGAAAGCTTAAAATCTCTTTTTGGCCTTAAATTCTGAACAATTCTAGACAAATGCTAAACACTGAATAGGGCCTGTTGAGGCTTCTGACTTTTTTTTTTTTTTACCATTCTCATCCATGGTGATCTATGAGGTTGCAGGTTTACTAAGCAAGAAATCTGTTGTTCATCATGCAGAAATTCGTAGCGTTAGGGTTGGCTTTTGTGAATTCAGATGTTGACTGCTTCTTGAGTGTTAGAGTTCTGAGCGTTTAACTGAAAAGGTGTAAACCTCCTGCATAGCTGCTGCCTTTTCAGCTGCTTATCCTGAGAATCCCCTCAGTAGCAAGGTCATTTTTGTTCGATTGAACTTGACTTATTAGTGTTTCGGTGGCCTCTCCTTTGTGGTGAAATTGAGGGATGTGCTTGAGATGAGGAGTTTGTGCCAGGGCTGAGAAGCAAAAGCAAAAAGTGCGTGTCTGATAGCATGCAGATTCCACAGTGTCATTCTCTTCCCACTGAGCAGTGTGGGGGGCAGTTTGTACCTGTTCAGGCCCTGTGAATATGTTGCATTCATCTGCACTATGATTATTCTTGTGAGACAGGAGTTCTTGCTGTGTGGCTTCATTCTTTAAAATGTCATTCTGGTAGAATCTCAATTAATAAATGTACAAAATGCCCCCTCACTCTTTCTGGGTATAAAACTTTGGATGCATTCATTCTAGAGACACTGCAATTAGGACTTCAATTGAGCAAAGTCTTGGGTTTGTTTGTTTGGGTTTTTTTAATAAACTAACTTCTGAAATTCTATCAAAATAAATGCTCTTGGATATTTCACTGAAGTGCAGTCCCTGTGATCCAGGGTTGACTTAATTTCAGTCCAAGGTATGTGGTCAAAATCACAGTGGTCAGAAGTAGTGGGATTTTACTATGGTGGTTGATATTCAGGGTGCTTAATGTAGGCTTCAGAGTAACTGACTCATCCCTGTTGCTAGATCTTGCTTCATAATGTAGAAGAGCAGGAAGAGAATGCAATACTGTGGGCTTTGTGGGTGTGGGCTTTTGTTGTTGTTGGGTTTTTTCTTTTGTTTTTTTTAGTCAATATCTGCAACCTCTTCTAGAGGAAGAAATGCTTTTGGAGTAAACAAAAGTTTAGATCGGCCTCAGTGCAGGTTCCAGTAGATGGAGCCACTGATGCTGCAATCCCTCCACTTCTGACACTAATATTTGTCCCTGAACGGCTTCAATCTCTGGTTGCCAATTTCACTGTAATTGACCCAAGGTTTTTCCTTATTATATTTCACCTATTTAGAAATACTCAGTCTTAGTATTCTTCCCCATGAAGAAACCTTTTGTGTTCTGTGAGGGAATAACAACAATGTACTCTAGGACTTCAGTTTTCCCCCAGGTATGTTCAGTTTACAGAGATGAAATTATTAGCTGTCGGCAGGCAGGTACTTACACAGACCAGAATAAAACTTTCTGCTCTTTGCCTTTAAAAGAGATGTCATACAGAAATCCCCCCAGTTCAAACACACCCCCTCAATTCAGCTGAAGTCCTTTTTTCATTTAGCTTTGTGTATTATTGTGTGAAGTGAGGAGGCTTTCACTTCTCTTCTGAGAGTTAATGGCTAAAAGCTTAATAACATCATAGTAATTTGCTGTGGCTAGTCATCCTTGACTGTGTGTTCCAACAAACTTGAAAAAATGTAAATACTGCTTCAGTTATTGATTAACAGGAGAGAATAAGAACTGTTAAATAGGTAACTGGATACCTGCAATGTTTCACCAGGAGTTTTATGTGTTGTCAGGAGGCTGCTTAGCCTCTTTCAGGTAGTATATTCTGATGCTTCTGGTCTAGTTTAAAGATGTAATTGTCCCTCTTTAATTGTAATTTATAATTTGTAATTGTCCCAAACTGTAAACTCAAGAACCACTTTGCCCTTATAGGAAATTTTTTACTTGAAGCATGCAGCTTTAAGATGTTTCTCTGCACTTAAAACAGCAGGGTGTTCCTACAGTTCATCTGTTTACAGCATTAACTTACATTCTGAAAACAAAAATAGTGTTTTCAGCCTGTTGAATGGTATTATAAGGCCTCAGTGCAGTTGATTTCTCTGCATTTAAAAGTGATACATGCACATTCACTCAAAGCAGCTGTGTTTTAGCTTTGTGTCCTGTTACATGATGCCACAAACCAGGTTTAAGGACACTTATCCCATTATTGCCATCAGAGTCTGATGGAAAGAAACAGAGTACAAACTAAGAAAAACAAAAATTGTCCTCCGAAATTCTCTAAGGGAAACCTGTGACACTATGAAATGGGTATAAAGGCATGCAATTGAGGAAAGAGGAGAAGAAAATAAGGGAAGTTCTATAGCAAATTTTGAAATACTACTGTTTGTGGGAGTATTAGCTGAGTTTTGGGGAAAATGGTGGTCACATCGCATCTACTGAGCTTTGTTTTTATGTAATAACACTACATTCATTTCAGTGTTCACTGCCTTAAAAGTAAAGATGTTCTTACCTTCGTGGTTGTGTCTGTTGCTACTCTAAAAAAAAAAAAAAAAAAACCCACAGCTACAAATGGGGTTGTCTGTTAGAATGTTTCATTGTGCATGTTGAAAGGAACCTGAATTTTGTTTGTATCTGGTAATTTCTTAGAGGTTGTGCTCTGTAGTTGAGATGGTGTTTGGCATTTCATCTAGGGCCGTATTTTTGAAAGGAAATTAACTGTGGAGAATTCCAGTAGAATGTGGTAGTATACCTTTTCGTGTTGTTATTTTTAAATGGTATTGCAGACTGAAGTGTGAGCGTCTCTAAAATTGCTTGTACATAGCTCTGCCAATATATGCACATTCATTCTGGTGTCATAAATGCTTTTAACTTAAATTAGTTGTCTGTTTTACCTCCTTTGTTTGCAGGTTGGATTTGCTACCATTTTACGCAAGGCTGGTTGCCACGTTGCATCCCTGTATGTCTGATGTAGCAGAGGATCTTTGTTCCATGCTGAAAGGGGATTTCAGGTTTCATGTATGTTTTTTGTTGGTTTAGCTTTTTGCATTCCAGTTAACCAATCTGATAATTGTTATCGTTTTGGGGAAAAAAAAAAAAACATTTAACATGATGTAGATGATAATTTTAAAATTTAGTGACTCGATTTAGAATATTTTTGTCATCTAAGCAGATTTGATCTAGAATACTGGATTTGTGTGTTTAAAACTTTTTACACATAGACAGACATATATGGTAAGTTCTTTTGGTAGTGTCATCCTTAATTTCCAGTGCTAAACAGTGATTAAAATGAACTGTATAACAGTTACAACAAAAGCTGCAAAAACTAGAAACTGTGCTCCAACTATGTTAGTAATTAACAGAAAGCATTTATTTAAAATGAGAACTGACCTGTTCTAACAACAGACCCCCTCTACAAGGTTATAATTGTAATACAGCGGTTACTATTGTAATGTAGTGCTTAATTCTAAAAATACTTTTTACAATTTTCAGCAACCATCGCTGCCTCAAACGTATTTTTCAATGTTGTTTCTTTCACACTGTTCTAAGTTTTGTAATGGAATTGGTTATGGTGCACAGTGACGACTCCACTCTTTTCTGAATTTTATGGCACAAGCTTCAAAATTTTTTCCTCATACTGACACTAAAAATGTGTATGAATTACTTTAACTCTTAACTATTTGAAGTTAACTCTTGCCAGAAAGAGTTATTTCTGTTGTAAAGAAATATTATTTTTTTTATTTTGCTAAACATGATTATGTTTGGAAATAGAGATGAACTTGCACTTGTCAGTAAAATTATGGTGGATATCAGTGTTTTTGAAAGAAGAAAGAGAAGGAAAAACCCAAGTCTGCACTTCATTAAACCTGGCTTGAAAAAGCTGTCAATATTTAATATTTCCTTGGCAACTATACCACTGGTCCTATTCGTGTAGAGACTGCTTATTGATTCTAAAAATACAGAATCTAGAGGTCTTAAGCATTACATCACCATGGCAAAACAGGGCTAGGCCAGGTTGATGTGTGTCTATAGCTTCAGATATGTTAGAGGACTTGGGGTTTGTGGGGTGTAAGGGGGGTGGGGAAAGAAATTGAAAAGCTTCTGCAGAAATGAAGTTGTAGAGAGACTTTCAGGAAACTCGGTGATAGATGAAGGTAGAGGATAAGGAACCAAACGAATATCAAACACCTTTGAATTCCCAAGCTCATTAAATGCCTTTGGGTCGAAGTAGTTTATAGGAGGTTGGTATTTTTGAGAGCCTAAAATCAAATGCCTTTTTTTAGGTAAGAAAAAAGGACCAGATCAACATTGAAACAAAGAATAAAACTGTGAGGTTTATTGGTGAACTTACCAAGTTTAAGATGTTCTCCAAAAACGATACTCTCCACTGTTTAAAGGTTAGTGCTGAGATAGTCCTGTACTGTCTGTGCTGATAATGTATCCCCATCTTACTTTCCTTTCTAGAACTGTGGCTGATGTTATCCAGTAATTCATTGCATGTGATGTTTTAAAGTGTCTTGCTACTATGTATAAGGAGAATTCTATAGCTGTTCCAGAAGTGAAGACTCTTTTAATTTTTGTGATGGTAGGAATGTATTAAAATAAACTTGCACCTTTGGAGATAACCAAATGGCTAACAATCTTTGTCAAGCGATAGTGGACATTGCTACTTATTCATCTGCTGTATCTTGCAAAACTGGAAGTGAGCTTTTCTTTCCATTATGTTGATTTCAGTTAACGTTTTTACAGAGAATACAGAGAAAATAACAGTAAGGGGGAAGGGTTAGAGGCAGAAAGCTTTTTTGCGGTGTAAGGAGAGGCTTACATGCTATTTTAGCAGGTGCTTTATTGTTGTTTGAGGTATAAAATCTTTGGAAAGCATTAATCTCTGGCCATATCATATCAATTTGCATGCTGATAAACATGCAAACTTACCTTTGATGTCAAGTCCCACATTAAAAATCAATTTTAAGAGTCTCCCTTTATAAAGGTGGTTGACTCACATGGGTTAAGATCACTTCCTCTAGGAATAGTTTCTATTCCTTGACTCGTTGGGTATCAAAGCTGAATTCTTAAACTATACTCGCTCATCACTTACACTATTTCATAGATGAGAGAGTAAAATGCAAAGCTCTATCAATTTTAGTTTTATTAAGTTATGCAACAATTAAATTCAACGTGTTTTGAGGTTATTGTTTCCATGTGCAGCGTTATTTGGTGGTTTTCCAGTCTAGAAGCAGGGATTTTAAAGCAGGTATAACAGAGTTGGAAAGGGGCATGGGAAAGTCTATAGCGTTTGTTTAAATGCTGTAGTCTTTTTGTGCTAGACTTAGGATGCTTCCTGGTTTCTGGAGCCTAAATTGGGGGTCTATACTGTCCTTATAACACTTTTTTTAATGAGATTAGTATTTTGACTTTTTCTTACTATCTGATCAGTGAAATCAACTTGCATTTTTTTCGTTAAGAATATGGAGCACTACAAGAGTGTAAAGTCTAGTAGGTATAACTTAGTGTGTTCTGCAGTTGAAAAAGATGCTTAACATGCTGTGGTTTTTATGTATATGTCTCAGATGCTTCTGTCAGACTTTTCTCATCACCATATTGAAATGGCATGTACTCTGCTGGAAACCTGTGGAAGATTCCTCTTCAGATCACCAGAATCTCACTTAAGAACCAGTGTTCTTTTGGTAAGAGAAGACTCCTTCCCTTATGGGGAAGGGTGTCATGAATTAAACCACTACTTTTCTGTTCGGCTTTGTAACGCAGTCTGACCATAACAATGATTGTGACTAATACCTTAATTATCAATTACAGAGTTCGAGCACTAGTAAGTGAAATCTTTTATTACGTTTTATCTTGAGTAATGTGAGGGAGAACAGTGTACAGGGACTGTGACAGAGATTGTAGTTAGAATGAGACTGTGTTAATGAATTAACAATAGTGTGCTTCCTAGAAATTTAAAATTTTGGTTTTGAACTGGTGGAACAAATAGCAGGGCAGAGCAGTGCAGGGAGTAAAGGGAATGAGGAGCTCTTCTGAACTGGGCTTTTCCTGCTGCTTATGTTTTATTTGGTGACTTCTTTGTTTTGTGTGCTGCTTTGCAAAAATTAACTGTATTTCATACAATGCAAACTGGTGCTACCAGGTTGGAGGATGGGAGGGGCCAAGGAGGAGCACCTCTTACTTCTTAGCAGATTTTTATTGAAAAGTGTCTGCAGTATGTGCAGGGAGGTTTTATTAGTCAGCAAACCGGAGGGGGGGATTCAACCCCCTTTTAACCTGGACATTTTAATGTTGTTTGTGATCTTTTCATCAAAGGAAAACCAAAACCTAATCTTCAAATGTAGTGCTTAACCTTTGTGGTTCTTCATTTTAGCCTAGTAAGTGGCAAGTTAAATGAAGTAGTTAATTAGCTGAAAGCACTTCAGACTGCAGGTCTTGCTTTTTTCCTTCTGGAAAGTGTCACGGCGTGTTATTGTTGGCAGTGTGGTGTTGCTGTTTTTCCTGCCTGTCCATCGGGCTTGATGCCTTAAATGAAAAAGGATTGAAACACACAAAGTTGCCTAAAATGGTGATGACTTTCAATAGAGTAAGACTAATACCATCTACTTAGAGTTAGAATAAACACTTGGGATGGCTCAAAAAAATTATAAATTACAGTGACTTTGAGTCTTGGGGTAGCGCATAGTGTCTCTCCTGCGAAGAAACATTTTAATTAAAAGAAGTTGCATATTATACTGTAAATAATAACTTATAACAGGAAAATCTACAAGTTACGTAGTTTTAGTTTATTTCAAGTCTTATTTGCAAGGTCTTCTGCCATTTTCTGTGTTACACTTTACTTTGCCCTGCTTAATTTTTCTATTTATAGTAAAACATGATAAATGTTATAAGGCAGTAAAGATATATTTTCTCCTGATGCATCTAGAAACGGTGAAAATGTTAAAAGGTAATAGTAACATATGCGACATGGTAAGGCTTTGGAACTTTCTGCTCTGTGTTTTCTCCACATAAAACAGTACGTGCTCAGTTGTTGAAAGTGCTGTGCAACTTCTAAGCACATGTAGGTGAACTTGCTAACTACTTGACAGAAGTTTCCCATTTGGAAAGGAACAGTCTCAGGGAATCAAAGGGGAGGCCATTTGTGTCATGGAAAAGGCTAAAAATGAAACGCCTTAGGGTTGGTGTCAGATTGAGACCTTGGCAATGACACATCAAATCTAGGAGGAAAGTTAGGTTCTTTGTTGGGTTACTGTGTTACACAAAACTACTCTTCCTCATTGCACTGGGAGCTGAAACTTAAGGTTAAGGAGCTGTTTGAGTATATCTACATTTCAGGTGAATGAACCACTGCCTTGTAAAAAAAATCTTAAATTATTCAAGTTTAATGGAAGGTTCACCAGCATGAAAAATTTGTGCTTCTTCAGTGACAAAAGGAGGTTTAATCTCTTCTCATTAGATTACTGGACTGCAATGTTTACACTTACATTTGTGTGTGGTGATAAAACAGAGTTTTCATGTTAGATTTATTTGTTAGCTGCTGTAAATTACTGTGTAGTCAACCTCTAAGTAATACAGTCTAATCCAGTGCAGTTTCTTTTCCTTTTGAACCGCCTTAGAGTGATTTCAAATATATGGGATCATGTGATGTACATACATTTAATGCAATTCAGAATTGCACGCAGATGCATATAAAAATTATTTTATGTCGGAATTAATCTCATCCTTATCTGTAGCTGTAAAAATCAGCAGCTTAGAACTGCTACTTTTGTTCTTGTACAGAACTTTCCAGTCCAAGAAATTTTTAAAAAGCACAAAACAAATAAAAAAGTACACATCCAAAATGAAATGTGGAGAAAAGATTGTGTTCTGTGAGGAAAAGTAGGACAATCCTGACAACTAAGCACAGTAATTAGTATTGATCTAGTACCTTTTAACTTGTCTGATTTTTCCTGAAATACTTTTTATGGTAGGTACTCTCTGTCTTGCCGTCTGTTCTGCTTGGATAAACAGCAACAATGGAACATGTAATAAGAAAAATGCCATTGCTAAACCATTGAAAATTAACGTGAAACCATCAGCATGAACTTTCTGGAATCGCATATTGATGTAAAAAGTTTATCGCATCTTAGTGATGATTCACTATGCTTGTGTCAAGAAATCAGTATTTCGGTTACTTCTGTTCAATAAAATCTTTCTGAATAGAGTGGCTAACAATCTTATTAGCCATTTTTCTAAACAGTATTTCAAGTTAAACTTGAAATGCTTTTCCAAAACTTTTCTCACCACAGATGAACCATTATAAAAACAGGCATTGTAAAGAAAAATTACCTTGGAAATGGCAACCCAGAACCACCTATATGCGTTGTCCTTCCTTGACTCTAACCCAGTTTTTAACTTCCTTTACTGCATTCTTACATGTTTCCTTGATCCCAGACTTAACTGTAAAAGTCTTTGGCTTGAGAGTGTAGTATGTCAACATCTTTAACTGGTCATTTGCATTTTTTCCAGGAACAAATGATGAGAAAAAAACAAGCAATGCATCTAGACGCACGCTATGTTACAATGGTAGAAAATGCCTATTACTACTGTAATCCTCCTCCAGCTGAAAAAACTGTGAAGAAAAAACGTCCTCCTTTGCAGGAATATATTCGTAAGCTTCTTTACAAGGATCTCTCCAAGGTCACCACAGAGAAGGTAAATTCTTCTGAAGTCTTTGATACAGATTTTACTGGAGGTGATGTAACACTAACTTTCAGAGAGCTTGGGGAAGGTTATATATATATATATTTTCTTTTTAATTGCAAGGAAGTGTGACTGGTTTTGTGTTCCTGATTAAGATAGCTTCATTTCCTTGCAATGGATGGAATCTTCAGTTATGGACCTACATTATCCAGTCTTTAAATTCTGAACAATTAGAGAATTAAGTAAGAATCTTAGTGCAAAGTATCTTGCATTGGTCGTCCACTCTGACAGTTAAATACAGACTCAGAGGAAGGAAATTATGGAGTAGGTTTGGACAGCTTGATTAGCAGTTAGAGGACAGTAGTTGGGTTAATCTATAAAGTTTTCCGTAGCTACTGCAGATCTGGATGATGCTTGAAAAAGAAAGAGGATGATTGCAGATGCTTTCAGGGATTTCATCCCAACTGTGAGAGAGAGAGAGAGAGGATGACAGTGGATGTCTTGATATTTTGCCTGCTAAAATGTTAAGCTTGTCTTAAAACTTTTGATTTAGGTCCTGAGACAGATGCGCAAGCTGCCTTGGCAGGATGCAGAAATAAAAGACTATGTTACATGCTGTATGATCAACATCTGGAATGTGAAATATAATAGTATTCACTGTGTAGCCAACCTCTTAGCAGGGTTGGTCCTTTACCAGGAAGATGTTGGAATCCACGTTGTAGATGGAGTGCTAGAGGATATTCGCCTAGGAATGGAGGTAAACAATTGAGATTTTTGTAAGCTGTACTCATCTACTGATGTTGAAAGGAAAAGGATAAACTAGTTGTGTTTTAAATAAAAGAAACCTTGGATTCTGCATTTTTGTCTTAACTTTTCTACGTGTGTCAGTTGTTTATGTAGGTTTAGTTAAATTAAAAATCCACCCCCACCCCCAAAAAAATCCAGACCAAACAAAAACTTCCCAACAAACTGCAAAACTTACTAGGACAGCTTCTTTTTACCCCCTTTTTATAGTAAGCAATTTACTCTTGCACAGTGCAGTCAGATTCATGCAGTCTCAAGTAGCTTTGAACACTAGTTCATATTTTGATTGACGGGGTTATAGTTACAAGAATTCTCTGGGCAATGAGAAATCACAGATTTAAGATAGTTTGTTAAATGCATGTGAACTTTATAATAACTACTTGTTGACCAGCTTTCATAAATACCTTCAGTACTACTTAATGTTTCATTTTTGTGTATTGTACGTAGCTATAAATAACCATCTTTTATTGTAATGAATTCCCTCAATTTAGAATTAAAAAAAAAACACACCACCTTTTACAAAGATTCTATTGTGTCTGCATGATGAAGTGATTGTTTTGCTGCTGTTCTTTGATAAAGGTTAACCAACCGAAGTTTAACCAGCGACGGATCAGCAGTGCCAAGTTTCTTGGGGAACTTTACAATTATCGAATGGTGGAATCGGCTGTAATATTTCGAACTCTGTATTCTTTCACGTCGTTTGGGGTGAACCCTGATGGTAGTCCTAGTCCACTGGATCCTCCAGAGCATCTCTTCAGAATCAGACTAGTCTGTACAATCCTCGATACCTGTGGGCAGTATTTTGACAGGGGATCCAGCAAACGAAAACTTGATTGCTTCCTTGTATATTTTCAGGTATTCTAAACTAAATTTTATGCAGTTTTGTAGATTTATGTATCAACCTATGTTGGTCTGTCTATTACATATTTCTCACATTGTTCTCTAGCACTGTAATTTTTAGAGTCCTATCTGATAGCAATTTTATTTTAAAGTGACATGTATGTTCAGTGATATGTAGATGTTAGTGTTCCAACAAACGTGCAGGACACTGGGGTTGCAGTTGATTCACTGAAGGGCTTAGGTTCCCTCCTTTAGGTGTCTCAGCAAGTAGTCTGATGATCTTGTGAATTCCAGCAAAGGTGAGTATCATGTCTTCTAGTTGGGATGGATTAGCTCCATGCAACAATGCACCCTGACACTGATGACCTAGAAGGCAGCTTTCCAGGAGTAGGAGACAGGACTCCTGGGCTATATGAACATGACGTTTAGTTCTGTACCATGAGGGTGATGAAGGCCAACAGCATACTGTGGTGTGGATTGAAGAAAGTGATCTTTTTCCTTTTTTTTCCTCTTGCCTTCTACTTGGCATTTCTTTATACCACATCTGGAGCACTGTTTTCAGTTCAGGGCTGCCTGGTAGATGAGAAGAGGGACATCAGCAACTGAGCCAAGGCCAGGAGAGGGTCACAAAAAAATGATCAATGATCTCTGTTCGCATACTATGGGTTTGCTTAGCTTGGAGAAGAGAATGCTGGTTGGGTTGCTGTCCTCAGCTAATAGTGTTTGTAGAGAAGGAGTAGTCAGATAATTCTCAGGCATGGTGAAAGGATGAGAAGTGACGATCATAAGTTGCAGCAAGAAAAGCTCTGACTGAATAGGTGGGGCAGAGGGGTGGGATTTTATAACAAGAGTATGTAAATGTTAGAATGGGTTCTGAGCAAATGTGGAGTTCATGCTAAAACTCTTTGGACTTAATTTCTGTTTCTTTCTGCTTCTCTCTAAATTACGCTAAACCGAAGATATTAAAAATAAAAGTGATAATGACTTATTTCAGACATTCAGGATGGTATACCCTTAGTCTGTATTTGAGATGTAGAATTTTTTTTTGAAGTACAGTGTGGTCCTATTTTTAAACCCAAAATAAACTTGTCAGTGAAGAAGTTGTTACAGTGTTACACCTTACAATTCCAACCTACATTCATTTTGACCATGTCACCGTCTCAATAAATGTTCTGTTACTCAGACTTCATTTTTGGATGCAACTTTTGCAACACCTTTGTTCTCAGATTCTACTGTTGGATTCAGTTAGGATCAGCATTTATTTTTTACAATTTTATTATAAGGGCTGTGTGTGAATTTGTTGTAGAGCTAGCTGGATAAGTCACTTGCACATGGTAGCTGCAGTCTTAAAATTTTTCTTGAAGTTTCTCCCTTCTCCCCATAATGTGCCTTTGGGGGAATTTTCTTGAAAACAGATGGAGGGAGGAATTGAAAGCTGGGTGATTAAGTGCTCATCTGTCAGAGAATGATCTCTGTTATTAAACGATGTTTAGTGATACCTAAGTTAAATGAAATAAGAGAATAATGATGTGAAATCATTTGCATTTTCTTCTGGGCAAACGTGGCAAGGCATTACAAACTTTTTAAGTCAAATAGTTTAAAAATGCCAGTGTGCATATAATTTACTTGAACATTTTGTATTCTAGCGGTATGTTTGGTGGAAAAAAAGTCTGGATGTTTGGACAAAAGACCACCCGTTTCCTATAGATATAGACTATATGATCAGTGATACACTGGAACTGCTGAGACCAAAGATAAAGCTCTGCAATTCTCTGGAAGAAGCCATCAGACAGGTGCAAGATTTGGAACGTGAATTCTTAATAAAACTAGGTAAGAAAATGTGCAAGGGAAATAAGGTCTGTTTGACAACTGTAGTATTTCTTAAAATTATCTTTTGCATGATGATAAGAAACTATTGTTAATCTCATGATACGATCTTTTTGTTCTCATGATAGAAATATTTCTGTAACTTTGCATTTTTCTCATCACCGTAGAGTTCGTATAGAATCTCCGTAACTCTAAAGAGATGGAGTGTTTAAAAAAGTCAATATGAATACTCTTAATACAGTAATACTGGAAGTGGGGGGTGTGTATATGTTCGGATATAGCGTGGTTGGTGCAAATGGTGAGGAAGCAAACTTAAATTTAAGAAAATTCAGGAAGCACACTCAACTGCAGGAAGCAAGGAGCATCTGCACTCAATTCCTGCAGCCTGTTGGCTGGTGAGCACTGATGGAAACCACGTTGGTCACTTTGATAGGTTGGTTGCTTGCAACTCCGTGTTCCTTCCCCAGTTCTGTGCTTGGAGATGCTGTGTCCAAGTAAGCATTAGTGCAAGGCTACAGTAAAAGTGAGAGAACACATTTTGCTCTTACGACGCTGTCAGGTACTTCGAGCCTTATACTACTTTTGTGGTGTTTTGGATGGGCTTTACACTTCAGTTGAGGCCAGAGGATGATTTCCTCTTCATGGATTAGAGCTTTGGTTGGATTATTAAAGGTTTTGGGTTTTTTCTTAATGTGTCTGTTGGTTGAGTTGTGTGCCAGCTTGTAGTTCCTGACAAGACTGCAGTGACGTATGTTCAAATCTTGCTGTGTTAAAAATCAGTTAATTTCAGTAGAAAAAAGTTGAGCTGCAGCACAGCTTAATTGATAAAATGCTGGTTAGTGTGTATCTAAAACTATCGTCATATTAAGGTATCAACTTTTTGTACATGTTGGTTCTTACTAATTATTGGCTACTACTGTGCTCGTTTCTTATTAAATGGAGTTTTCTAATCTTCCACTTTTATTTGAAGACAAGCTTGTTCATGAAGAACTTATATGTGTATTTTACACTTCATAAGTGTTAATTATAGCCTTAATAGCACTTCATCTAGTTAGACAAGTTCAATTTTTAAGAATAATCCTTTAATCCAGTGGGATGAGTATGTGTAATTGCCAGGTAAAATGTTGCAACTTATGTTTTAGGAGGAACTTGTATTTTTAATATGCTGTTCCTTTAATTGACATGCCTTGAAATTACCTATTGTAGTAACTGAAATGCAGACAAAAATTTCCTTATGGTATGACTTCAATTACTAGCTTTTATGATCCCAAAATGATAACTGAGACATAATTTACAACTCCTTACATAAACTGTAATACTATTTTGAAAGAGACTTGGCAGAACGATTCAGAAGAACTTCTGTTCTCTGAATCATCACCACCACTGTAGCAATTGAATTCGGTGTAGTTAAGGGGGAGATATGTGGTCCCCGAATGTGAGCAAGGGTTGGAGACAAATTTGTGTTTGTTTTGGCACCAGTAAATCCCACCAACTGTACAGCCTTTTAAAAAGGGAGTTGTGTGTGTCCCAAGCATGTTGCTTTTGTTGATACTGATATTATTTGTTTCTTATTAGCCAGCAGTATAGGGTGTGACAGTTCCTAGTCCTTGTACTAGGACTGTTTGAAGGTGGTCTCGGGAAGGTTGTGTCATCTGTCTTTCTGACCTTTGAAGGTTATGACTGGTTTATCCTGGCTTTATCCCTGGAAGGTTTATCCCTTCAAGGCCAGGCTGTACGAGGCTTTGAGCAACCTGGTCTAGTGGAAGGTGTCCCTGCCCATGGCAGGGGGGTTGGAACTGGTTGATCCTTAAGGTCACTTCCAACCTTCACATCCATCCAATTCTATGATGGATGCCAGCATATCTGAAGGAAATAAGTATTTTAATACTGTAGCAAAAAGCTCTAGTAGAGCTGTAGTTCTGGATGAATTTGGCCCTGCAGTTCCTTGGCCTATGTACAAAACCACTGAGCAGTACCATGCTAAAGACCACGACGGGCTTTACTCTTTGTCAGTCTGAGGTGTAAATCTAGGCAGAACAGTGGGGTGGCTTGTTGCCTGCAGACCTTGAGCTGGGGACTGGCTCTTGTTTGCTGTGCTGCTCTGGTGATTTTGCACTGGTGAGGATATTGAGTGATTTAAAAGAAACTTTCAGAGCAACACTTATTTTGAAGAGCACAGTGTTGAGAAATGGGGGGGTAGGGGGAAGAATGCTTTAAAACCTCTGGAATATGAAGGAAGACGTGTATGTGCATGCACACACGTGTGTTCATGCAGAACTGAAATCCTCATGAACTACCATACAACTATAGATACATTGTATTTCAGAGTTTTGTCTAGTTTAAGCACAGCTCTAAAAATTCACCTGCTCCTGAAGCTGAGCTCTCTGATCTTAGTCAAATTTTTGTAGAGGCCTGGCTGTTGGTGTCTGTGTATTGCATGTCTTAAAGGTGTGGAGTGCCAAAAAAAAAAAAATCTGACCTGCCCCAAACCATTTCTATATTCAGAATCTAGGTTTCCATGTAAGAACTGTGCACAACAGCATTTGTTCTTTGCATATGGCAGAGAACAAACAAGGAGTGACACAAGTGTTCGTTTGCTGTCCAGAATATTTTAAGCTAACAACTGACCCTGTGTGGTTGGCATAATGTCAGAATAATTGGTGGCCTTCTACAATGGGGTCACGACCTTGGTGGATAGA